TGTTGACCAGGATGGTCTCGATCTCTTGACCTCGTGATCCACCCGCCTCGGCCTCCCAAAGTGCTGGGATTACAGGCTTGAGCCACCGCGCCCGGCCTTGTTGAACATTTCACAGTTACTACTGTGTCTGTCTGTGTTCTCTTCAGAGCCTGTTCTGCCTTGCTCAAGGCCTTTTCCTAAATACTGTCCTTCTAGTATACTTCATTTAGATTTTTGTCTTGGCAGAGTGACAAATGACCACATGCCAGAGACCTCTACAAAGTCAAGTCGTATGTTAAATCTGATGTCAAGCTGTGAAATTGCATAACTATTAGCACCAAGAGGAAAAGAATGTCAGAAGTCTGCTGTACTTCCAGCAGATTTAAGATGATAAGCTAGAAAAACAAATTCAGCATGTGTTTCAATTGTTTTCCTATGGCAAGAATCAAAATCCCCTTTTAAAATTGCTTTTGTGCCTAACTGTTCACTTCCTTTTTCTTTTTTCTAAGGGATTTTGCTTGCCCAAAGAATTTATGGAAGATTCAGCTGGAGAGGGTGCAACTCAGTTCCATGACTATGAGGGAGGTGGAATTGGAGAAGGCGAGGGCATGAAGGATGTGAGTGACCAGATAGAAAATGAAGAACAGGTATGTTTTCACATAGGTATACAGTTGACAGAAGATCACTCTCTTCAATATTTAAGTTGCACATAAAAATGGTTTTTACTAGATTAATGATTTTTAATCTGTGATCTACAGAGCCCTAGGTATATTGGTGCTTGGGCAGTGGGTGTAAATAAAAAGCCTAAAAACCACAGGAAGGAACCTTGCAACTCTGTTACTGGTTTTGGCTATAATTATGGAGGAAATAAATGATTTTTACTTTTTTTTTTTTTTTTTTTTTTTGGGAGATTTTTGCTCATGATTTTTTAGATTTTTTTTTGATAGTATTTTTAAGCATAAAAGGCCTGGCTATCTTAAGTGATAACTGCATTAAACAATAATGCCAAAATATGCTGTTAATAGGTTTTGCCGTTGTATATCTGTAGGGCATATTGAGAGTATAAAAAAAATCTGTATCCTTTTTTGGTTGGAATCAAGCAACCTTCTGAAATATTCAGATGCTAAGGACTAAGACTATAAGATGCAAACCCTGTAGAAAAGTACAGTCCATGCAAAAAACATTAAGTGGAATTAAAAGCTTCCAGAACAATTTGGCAGTGTCTGCTGAATTTTAAATTATGTCTATTCAATTGACCCCCAAGTTCCATGTTTTCTTATAGAAATACTAGTGTTGGCCAGGCGCAGTGGCTCACACCTGTAATCCAAGCACTTTAGGAGGCCGAGGCAGGTGGATCATGAGGTCAGGAGATCAAGACTATCCTAGCCAACATGGTGAAAACCCATCTCTACTAAAAATACAAGAAGTAGCTGGGCGTGGTGGCATGTGCCTGTGGTCCCAGCTACTTGGGAGGCTGAGGCAGAAGATTGCTTGATCCCAGGAGGTGGAGGCTGCAGCGAGCCATGATTGTGTCACTGCACTCCAGGCTAGCAACACAGGGAGACCCTGTCTAAAAAATAAAAAATAATTTTTTTTATAAAAGAAATACATAAACTAAGGAATGAGCAAGATTCTCTTGGGTCACTGTCTTTCAGCAATCATAGCGACAAAAATAGTATTAAAGAATTGGATAATAAAAGATTGGTGAATTTTTTATCCTACAAAGACTATTCTTTCAACTGTCCCTGGGATTATTTTTACAATTACCAATAAGAAAACCTGAATGAAATTTTATATTCTCTGATTATAAATGCAATAAAGTGGAAACTAAATCCAGAAATTTTACAAATTCCATGTGGCTGTCTCTGTGTTTCTCTTTTTTTTCCTCTCCCAAATATATTTTTACACCATTAATCTTGGCATTTATATCTCAGAGCTGAAGCAAACATTGGTAAAGTTATAGCATTTATTTATGTTTAATATAATGGTTTTTTATATAGGTGGAAGATACCTTTCAGAAGGGTCAAGAAAAAGACACAGAGGATCCTGATTCAAAATCTGATATTAAGGGCGAGGATAACGCCATTGAGATGTCGGAAGACTTTGATGGGAAAATGCATGATGGGGAGCTTGAAGAACAAGGTTTGAGATTATCTGTCACTTCATTCTTGTTTTTCAAAGTATAAATATTTTATCCAGGAAATTACATGTTCCTAATAAGAAACCTAATATAATCTTTTGAAACAAGTTGGTTACTGTGCTTAACTGCAAATGAAAACCTCACCAGCTGCATGTACCATCACCATGTCCACTAAGGCAGAAGTCCCTAGTCTCAGAGTCTTCTCATCAGAGTAAACTAAGACATTGACTGATATTGTAGTTTCCTCATGGGCTACATGCAGTGGCTCAGTAGTGCCCTTCAGGGAAGCCTGAAAGGAGATGATCCCTGATGGAGCTGGGCTGTCAACAAAAGGCAAATTGTTCTGTGTGATGTTTAAAATACCTTTTATTCCTAATTAGAAAAATAGTAGATGTTTGTTGTAGATAATTTGGAACAAAAATGTAGGAAAGAAATGGATCCCCCTTAGGCCTACCACTCATAGCACTTAATAAATTGTTGTATATTTCTTTCCATGTATTGCACGTATACATATACACAGACCATATACAGTTCGTAGTCTGCTTTTTAAATTTAATATGAATTCTCCCTGTCATTAAAAATTTGAGAATATGATTTTTTAAAGTACATGATCATCTGTCATGTTTACGCCATAATTCAGCCCTTGCCCAAAATTTCTCTCCAATTTGAGATACTATGTCTTACTCTAAAATGAATATCTTGCAGAAATGAAAGTTGACCTTAGTGTACAGTTTGCCTAAGGCACATAGGATATGACCTTTGGCAAAGTAGACCCTGTGCAAAGACAAAAGAAGACCTGATTGAGACCTGATTGTAGATGTTGGAAAAAAATCATAGCAGTATATTGAAGATGGGAGGACCAATGGAAACCATGTAGTCCAACCCCGTCATTTCACAGATAGGAAACTCAGGTTGCTGGGTCCCATAATGGCCATTCCCCCAGCACTAGAACCACGCATCCTGATAGGTATTTCTCTTCTCTTTGTACCATCTGCTCACACATTAGACACTTCCTTGTTCCTCCACTTTGCAAAACACAGTAGGACTTTGTGTAGTAGGACTTTGTTCTTGTAAAGGCATCCACACATGTGGTGTTTTCTGTAGAAAAAGGCAGTAAATCTGGGTGGGGCCCTTACCCAGGAAGCAGGTCCATATCTTTCTACAACACAGGACTGGGTTGATTTGGAGATCTGCCTAACTAAGCTCAGTGCCTTCCCTTTCAGAAGAGGATGATGAGAAATCAGATAGTGAGGACGGAGACCTGGATAAGCAGATGGGTGATCTCAATGGTGAGGAAGCTGACAAACTAGATGAGAGGCTTTGGGGTGATGACGATGAGGAGGAAGATGAGGAGGAAGAAGACAGTAAAACTGAAGAAACAGGACCAGGAATGGATGAGGTAATTAAAAGATTTCTCCCTTCCCAAACAAGCTGAGCAGAGGTAATCTGCCCACCACCTGCCATTCCCTGTCATTTACTTCTCTTCCTTTTCTGTATTTGGTTTTGTTCTCTTTCTTCCATTCTTCTTTTTCTTTTTTCTATCATATCTCATTGATTACATTCAGAGCCAAAAGAGTAGCCTGACCTGAGTCATCCCATGTGTTACAGAGCAGGGAGATGAACAATACTCAGTGCAGATGTTCTAAGCTGATTCTCCTATAGGCCGCTGAATTTCTCCAGCTCCCAGCTTAGGAGACGAGACTCCAGGGCTGAGATAGAGAGACCTGCACTGTTTTCTCTAGGTCACGGATGGCACTTCCTCAGCCATCCATTGGGATAGGTCCAATAGGCAGAAATTATGCCTGTCTAAGTCAACCCATGTAGAAGCAGTTTCTTGGACTGACTGTGGTAACTGTTTTTACTTCCTTTAACATTTAGGAAGATTCTGAACTTGTTGCTAAAGATGACAACTTGGATAGTGGCAAATCGAACAAAGATAAAAGCCAGCAAGATAAGAAGGAAGAAAAGGAAGAAGCAGAAACTGATGATGGTGGACAAGGCGAAGACAAAATCAATGAACAAATAGATGAGGTAATGAAAATTTGAAACTGATCCGCTCTCCTGACTCAAGGCCAGGGCTCTTGAACTGCATAGTTCTTGGGGTGTCTCAAGACATTTTTCCCCCTTGTTCGCGGACTGCTCTATTACCTCATAAAAGAATATGCAAGGCCGGGCGCGGTGGCTCAAGCCTGTAATCCCAGCACTTTGGGAGGCCGAGGCGGGTGGATCA